TGTAATAGTTGATAGTTACCGTGTTGAATTTAATGTAAAAATTTTCATTATCAAAAAATTGTTTTGTATGTATGATGAAATTCTCTCCTAAATAATCAATATCGATTGAATTCGTTTCATTTTTTCTCAAATCGATAGTTTTCTGAAACTAAAACTATAAAAGTTAATCAACTGAAAAGAAAACCAATTCATTCTTACTTTGGGTATGAGCAAAGCATGTGGATTATTATCAACACTTGTTGAATAATTTTCACTTTCATGTCATCCATAACTTTATTATACTATAAAGAAATAAGTTAATCACATGAAAAAAGACAATTAATTCTTACTCCGTTGTTCTTCACAATATTAAAATCTCTACTTAAAAAAGTCCAATGAACCAAAAGGATCAATTTTTCTTTTGGATGTTCGTATTTATTTATGTGTGTATGTAAAAGAATATCAAGATATCGACAATATTTCGTCATTAATATCTAGAAAAATAATCAATTATTCTTCATTTACATACGAAACAAAAAATTAAGCTTTAAATTATAAAATCGACTTTATTTTATTCAATAAAAAGATTTCAATATTAAAAAAATCAAATTTAAAAGTGAAACTTTTCAATAATATTTTTAATAAATAACTTCCATTTCTTTTCTTACAATAATCTTCACTAAGACAAAACTTTTAAATAACCTAAATAAAATGTAACATTAATTATTCATTTTCTTATAAATGAAAACAAACTTTACTTAGATAAATTATATCTTGGATGAGAGAAAAACTTTTATTACAGTATATACTCAATTCTATATCTTTTCTAATGTTTTGTTTGTTTGTTTGTTTATGTTATATATATATATATCGCAGATGAGTTACAATACTCGACGAGATTATAATATTTCGTCACACAAAATTTGACGAAGTTGTAACTATTTTGTGTGACGATGATGTTATAAATTTCGTCTCGTCAATTTTGTCTAAAGAAGATAAAAGTTCATCGAGCAGTGCAACTTCTCTATGATACATATGTATTCGTGTCGAAATGGACATTACCTTCAAGTTTAGATTCACCTAAGCAAATATGATAATTTAAATTAGATGCACATTCGTTCAAGTCATTTTTTTATATAATATAGAGTAGAAGTTCATTTTAAGATTAGACTTAAATAGTGAGACGAATGCTAAATTGACTAAGATCTATACCAGAATAAACACACTCTTTCATGTACTTGATGCTAAGGATCGTGCTTAATAGTTATATTTCTATTGAGTAAGACAATTTTAATTATAGTGAAATAAGAAAATATAATGAAGAGATAGATTTTCCACAACAAATGAATTGAGTTGAATGCGATTGATGTCGTTGATTTTGACAATATTAACAGTTTTTATAAATTTTTTTTAAAGAAAAATATTGTTCTCTTTACATACGGATGATTTAGTTTAGCACGCATATTTACAAGAACTAGTACTTCATTGACTAGATTATGAAGAAATTGTATGGAGATCAATGGGAAAACAGCGGAGACTTCGATCTTGAAGTCTTTCAAAGTCTTTTGAAGCCCTTAAGCTATACTTTTTAACTCTGACATGCCCACCTGGGGTCCACTCGGACCCCAACTAATTCATATGATGTCTTCTGAGAGTATCCCCGGAAACTCGATTATGTCCTAGGGATAAGAGGTAGATATATATATAGGTATAGAGGTATAGGAGGTATAGGAGATATAGAAGGTATAAGGGGTATAGCAGATATACTAACAACGACAATATGACTGCAAATCGTATTTTTTATGTAACTTTTGAAAGAAAGAAGATTGAGAGGTGCGGTTCTCACCATTGAAAAGAGGAAATTAACACGCATCGAATTATACGTTATAGTCTTTCGACTTGGTTTTTTCCAAGTATTCAATTTAACGTTTTTTAGAACAACGTTTTTCATAGCTCAATACAAGTAGTTCTCAACTATTAATTATTTATTCAGAGCAATAGCTGAAGATCCATAACACTGTGCAATAATATGATTCTTGGCTTCATTTGTTTCGGAGGTATAGCTATTGTACGCGAAAGTAGAAGCCGCTTTATGACTCACAGTTCTTGTGAGAAATAGAGCTTTTTTTCTCCAGACGGTGTGGGTGTTCGTAATATATTCATACTAACACCCATATCCACACCATCAAATTCGAATTTTCCACTCGAAGGTTTCAAAACGAAAACACTCTAAACAATCATGATTGTCTAAACCTTACGCAAACATATCATTGCAGCACGTGAGAATAAGGCAAAAAGAACTTCCACGGATAGCGACTAGCACCAATGCACATTCACAGACAAGCGCCGGTGAGGGTGCGCAAAAAGGAGTTTCACCCAACACGCTTTACATAAAAACACACTCACACACAAACGCTGCAGGTTTGGATGCGGAGGAAGGTGTTTCACCGAACAGGACTCAGATAAAAACGAACTCTCACACAAACGCCGCAAGTATGGGTGTGGCATAAGGAGTTTCACCAAACAGGACCCACATAAAAACATACACACAAACGCTGAGAGTGTGGTTGCGGCGAAAAGAGTTTCACCAAATAGGACTTTCCGTAAATCGCACTGGCACACAAACGTCGTAGATGTGAGTGTGGCGAAAGGAGTTTCACCAAATGGGACTCGTATAAAAACATTCTCATACAGATACGCCGTAGGTGTGGATGCCGCCAAAGGGGTTTGATCGTGGAGGACTGATAGAGAAATACACAGACAGGATTTGAGTGGATTATGTTTAGCTTTATAGATTTGTGAGAGTTATGCGGTAACTTCAGGTTGAAAGTTTAAAGTTGATGGTTTTGTTGATACTTGAAAGATCGAGTTAATTTTAGACTCAGTGGCGATTTAACTTGTTGAGTTGGAAGAAGGAGTTTTGCGTGTAGTATAGCCGCTTCAACTTTGGAAGGAATTGTGTGGTCTCGGTAATACACGAAAGTCACAGTTTTGGAATTTTTATTGCTATATTGAAATCGACTGGTGGTAAAGTACGAATGGATGTAGATAGTGCCTCTTTTCCGGCGCGACCTGCATATGATGTTTTTCAACAGTTTTCGGGGGAACTGAATTAGACACGGAAGGAAGAAACATCAGATATGGAAGTTATGGCAGATATTCTTTATATAGCGCTCGACTTTGTATAGTGATCTTTATTGATATATTTATTGAATCTATGGACGCTTACTCGGAAAGAGCAATGAAAAGAAATAAGTAAGTGCTTCGTATATCTTCTGCATCTCTATTTGTTTAGCTATATATCACCTATCTAGCAGCGACGAAATGACTAGGAATTGCATCTTCGGTGTAACTTTTGATAGAAAGAGGAGAGAGGATTGCAGTCTCCGCTATTCAAAAGCGAAGACATAAATGCGTGAAGCGTGTTGCGCAAGATTTTATACATATGATTTGTTAGAGTTTTCAAGTCAATTTTCCAAAATAAAGGTTAGCGGAAAAACAGTTTGTATCGAACAGAGACAAGAGAGAAAAGTTCTATTCTTCACAAGAAATGTTTGAGAAAAGCAGCTTCTAGTTTCGCGTACAATACTTATAGCAGCTGAAGGATTGAAGCTAAGAATCGCCATGTTGCACAGTTTTATGGATCTTCAGCTGTTGCTTTGAATACATATCCGATAGTTGAGAATTCCTTGTAGTCATTTATCGCAATCATTGTTCCAGGAAACGTTAAATTGAATATTTGAGAAAAACCAAGTCGAAAGGCTATAACATATGATTCTGTGCGTGTTAATTTCCTCTTTCCAATTGTGAAAACCGCACCTCTCAATCTTCTTTCTTTCAAAAGTTACATCAAAAATACGATTTGCAATCATATTGTCGTTGGTAGTATATCTGCTATACCTTTTATACCTCCTATACCTCCTATATCTCCTATATCTCCTATACCTCCTATATCTCCTATATCTCCTATACCTCTATATCTATCTATCTCTTACCCCTAGGATATAATCGAGTTTCCGGGGATACTCTCAGAAGACATGTAATCAACTAATTTCATTTTAATGTTATACACACACAACGACAGATCATATCACGCCCCTCTAGGTATGCTCTAGTGAAGAGTAGTAGAATATGTTGCTGACGTTAGTCATTTAACACCATTAGTTGTCTATGAGATAATTTATCTCAAAGTACATATGAACGCTTGTTGCCCACCTGGGGTCCGTCCGGACCCCATATTATAGGACTAGTTTTGGCTTATTCTTCAGCTATAATTTCTTCAATTTTATGTTATATACATTCTTTTTGGTCTCTGTTAGAATATTCCAGAGCTTTCTAATAAATTTTAGAGTGAGTATATGATTTTCGAATGTTCCATTCTTTACATTAGAATAGTTTAGCGAGCGTTCTGCTACTTTCTGAATCATTGTGCTTCTCATATAAAAATAAACAGTTGAGTATCTTGATCGAGAATACTTTTAGACGATGGCGTCATATGCACATCGTCTCTTTTTGTTGTTGTTGTGACGTGATCGTATATATGTATTCGATCTATATCTTCTTACGTTCTGCTGTCATGCGTGGATGCGTATATCTATTCTTCTCTCTAGTGTGTTCTGGTACATTCGTTTTCTTTCTCGTTTTTTCTATATGGATTATGTATATTCATTCTTCCATCTTCTAGTGATATCTTTTTTTTCTAGCACCGTCTAGCAAACTCTTTATTCTTCCCCATATTTGAATATATATACCCGCTAATTGAAATAAAACCATTATTTACTGCATTCGATACGAATATTATTCGAAGAAATATGACTTCAAGCAAACGATTTGATCCTAATCGACCAAAACATTGGCATAAATGCACCGAACACTTCGATGATGACTCCGAAGACGAATTTGACGATGTGGACAATGATCCCGAAGATTCAGAAATATCTTCTGCTCTACAAGGTAGTTCTGACGAATCAAACGATGATGATGTAATTGAAAAAGGATTCGGGTGATGAATCCGATATAAGTTACGTTGAAACTGAATGTTCCAGCGACGAGGAGCCGCCTAGACATCGAGCTAAACGTGAACAACTAGTGGAACAACCAGCAGCCAAAATATTTACGGCACGATCTGGACGACAGTGGACTTCATAAGAGCCTCCAAAACGAAAAGTGCCACCAGCTAACATCTTGCGGCAGCGAAATGGTATTGGACGACCAGCAGCTGGCATACAAACGATAAAAGAAGCATTTGAACTTCTAATAACTCAAGAAATGGTTCTTCTTCTGGTAAGAGAGACCAACCGATGAGCTCATCTGATCATGAAACAGTGGAATGATCGAAATCGTGGTAAAGAAAATCAGTGGCAGGAGACGGATTGTGGTGAAATATGGGCTTTCATTGGATTGCTAATCCTTGCAGGTGTTCATCGATCCAAGAATGAAACTCTCGACGAGCTATGGCCAATGATGAATGGACGACCGATATTTCGAGCAATATGACAAAGAATCGCTTCAAAAGCTTGCTTCAATTTTGTCGATTCGACAATACAGCAACTCGGAACGAAAGATTGAAAAAAGACAAGTTAGCTGCAATACGAGATTTATGGACGATGTTCTTACCTCGCCTGCAAATATGTCACACACCTGGTGGATCGGTTACTGTGGATGAACAACTTATTCCAACTCGTGATCGATGCAATTTCCCCCAATACATTCCTAGCAAGCCCGAAAAATATGGTTTGAAGATATTTTGGTGCTGCCACTCAGTTACAGCATACCCATTGAATAGTGAAGTCTATCTTGGACGTCAACTTGAAGCAGCATCTGCAGCTGAAGATAAGAATCGTATTTGTAATCTGGTGAAGCGGCTGGTGCATCCTTGGATCAATGCCGGAAGAACCAACACTACAGATAATTATTTTACTAGTACCGAATTGGTAGAAGATCTTTTATGTGTTCAAACAACTCTTGTTGGAAATATTCGACGAAACAGGCAAGAAATTCCACGAGAACTGCAGCCTGATCCTCGTCGTCCTGAACAATCATCGATATTCTGTTTCGATCGGCAACTAATATTGGTTAGCTATGTACCAAAAAAGAGACATGCTGTGATCTTACTGTCATCTTTTCATCATGACGTGTCTATCGACTTTGAGCGAAAAAAGAAGCCAGAAATTATCTTATACTACAACGAAACAAAAGGTGGAGTCGATCGAATGGATCAGATGGTGGAGACATATTCTTGCAAACGGACAACAAAACCATGGCCAATGACCTTTTTCTTCAATATAGTTGATGTTGGTGCTATTGCTGCCTTTATAATATGGACGACCAAAAACCCTTCATGGAATGAAAAGAAACGACACCATCGGCGTCTATTTTTAATGCAGTTGGGTTATGATCTTGTTGAACCTCACATAGATCGACGACAACAACAACCACAAGCACGTCAAAGAGACGTTCGAATGGCTATGCAAGCAATTGGACAAACAATTACTACTTCACAGCCTGATACGGTTTCATCAACTAGTTAGTATCACGCGACGTTGTCAACTGTGTTCAAGAGAACGCAATCGAAAGGTCATGACTCATTGTTCAAGTTGTAATATTCCTTGTTGTCCGGATCATCATATAGTCATTTGTACTATGTGTTGTGAAACATATTTAAGATAAAACTGATTGTAAAAGAATTTTTGGGATATACAAGATAATAAGTAAATATAGCTACTTTTTTATTCGTTATTCATGCTATAACCTGCTAACTATAGAACACATAGTACTAGCATAGCATATTATTTATAACATGTATTGTATCTGTTTTACCACCTTGGGGTCCGCACGGACCCTAGGTGGGCAACAAGTGATAGTCCTATAGGTGGTCGTGTCAGGGTTAAAATATAATTGAGAGATCGGAGAAAAGTTGATTAAAATCAACAAAGATTTTTTCAATTGAGGAAAATAGATCATTGAATGGAAAATCATTATTATGATCTGCCGCTTTAGTTTTTATTATTTTTATTTAAATACTGAAGAAAATTATAAAAAATATATTTTTCGATATTTAATTCAGGGGTTGCAGCGACACTACTTTCCTGATTTTTAAAAGCGTCCTGATTCGTCCTGATTTTGCCCATTTTTTCTGATTTTCTTGACTTTGTGTTATATAGCGCGAACGCAACAGTAGTTCGAAAGCACAAAACAGGACTCATTGTCAAGAAAATTTCGTCTCCAATTGTAGCTTAAATTATCAGTCTTTGTTTTAGTTGAACTATGAGCGAGATATCGTTTTTAGGGGTTGATTTTTATATAAAGCTTAAACTTAACGATTTTAAAACAGTTGGTCTCTTTCGGAAGTAATAAAATTCAGCTCTACTCAACCCTTCACACCTGTTAAAACTACAAGTTTTCTGATCGCTCTCAACGAATACTAGATGAACTTCATGTGCATGGCCATCGACGAAACATTGGAACGAAAGTACCACGCGAAAGTACGATCAGAAACGAGAAATGAGAAGATGTGTCTCGCAACAACAAGAAGTATGAAAAATGAAATAGACGAACAGATTGTGTACCTCGTTAAAAAACATGCGTATATTTACATCTTTTCCTGTGTTTCCAAGCAACGCTGATTTTCCTGATTTTGGGATCCTTTTCCTGATTTTTTTCTTCGAAAATTCCTGCCCTGATTCTTCACATGACACCACTGCGACCCCTGTTAATTATTTCCTAGTTTACAAGAAAAGGCTGCCAGTATGAATATTAAATAGATGCACATGACATACTTCGCAGTTCAATAAACTAAAAGAATCTTATCAAAACAAAAAGTTACCTAATAGTTCTTTTCGTATAAATTTAATTCAATTATAAGTTTTCTCTATTCTAATTAAAATTGTTTATAGTTCATATAAGAAAATGAACTAACCCTATACTTTCTATATTTTGTAAATGAACTTATTTGTCAATTAAGTAATTTAATTGAGGTATTGCTAAAGTAGAATATTAAATGAAATAATCTCAATGAAATTTCTTAAATAATTATAAAGTATTCAGTTGAATCGATATTATTTTATAAATCGAAATCATTTATATATATATATATATTATAATAAAATTTCAATGTCTATTGAATTGAACATATTTGAAACAAATGTATTGATTCTAAATTCTTGTTTGAGCAACAGATTTCTTTATCTTGAAATAAAAGAAAAATATTCTAATGATAAATTAATTTTTCAAAATGATGACTTTATTCGTTATAAAATCATATAATGAATGAAATAGAATTAAAAAAAAACAGTTCTATTTTTTTTGTTTTTATTTTTAACACAATTGATTCATTGAAATTCTAAGATCAACAAATTCTTTTTCAATTTCAGTTGATTTTACAATAAAATCTAATTTTCATTTAAATTTTGATAAATAAATTGAATCGAATAATTTATATTTCAATAATAAATTTTCACTAAATAAGAATTACATAATTACTTTAAATTAAATTTGATTTCATTTTTGAATTTGATACCAAATACATTTTTACATAGAATTCGTCACAAATATCAAATATATTTTTTTCATAAACATTTAAGATTTTTTCATGTCTAAATAAAATAATAAAATGAATAAATTTTTATCTTTATTTTGTTTGTCTTATGTTTTATTTTACTTACAAAGAATAAACTAAATTTTTTTCAAATAAATCAAAAACAAAAACATAACAAATTTCACTCAATAGATTTGAATATATCTCAAGTACATTAAAGATGTTCTTATACTTGTTTTTTCTTTCATTTTAAAACTTTTTAAAGTTAAAAGGTTTGGTTTAAAAATGAAATCTTAATTGTAAAAAAAAACTTGTTGAACATTATCATCTGCTCGTCTCAATATTAATAAATGGTTGGAAAATCTTTTTATAGTTTTATCATATTTAATTTTAATATTTGATAAAGTATAGATTTTAATATCATGATTTTATGTTTTGATTGTAATTGTAAATGAGTTAAATAAACAACTAATTCATATAAATATTTTTCATTATCTTTCGCTAAAATCTTTGTTTTTGTTATTGACATTTGTAAACCAACAATATATATTCTTTACATGTTTGAATTCATTGTTGAATTTCAAGAATATCTTGACATGATTTAACAACAAGTAAAGAAATAAATAATAATATTTTTGAACAAAATTTTCTATTTGTTATTAAACGATAAGTGACTTGAAGATGTCCAATTAATTCTTCTAATTTTAATCCAATTGTTGGATAAAATAATTCTAATAAATATACATCACGTCTTAATAATTAAAATTAAAATAAAAAAAAATATTTATTAAATAAACAAATAAATACAAGCAAATTTCTTAATGTATATAAATATAATGATGAATATTCTGTAAAAGCTAAACATGAAGATGAATATATTTGAATAAAATTATAAGATCATCAACGGTTTTGTAAAGTAAGTCCCATTTTCATATTGAAAAACTAATGCTTTCTTTCGTTTCTATTTTGGATTATACACTATCCGATTTACCACGTATGTCTGGTGTTGATATTAAAAGACTAATATTTTTTATTTTTAGATGATGAATGATTCTATGTGGAACGTCGGTTTCTTTTCGTCTTTCAATAATCGACTATTGTGTTGCCTTGTGGTGTCGGCATGACATTCTGTTCACTTACATTGACATCCATACACCCTTTTTTTAGAGAGTAGATCGTAGGATATCGTCATTAAAGTATAGCAACAACGCAGGTGGATTTGTAATAATTACTGTGAATATTAATCGATTTCTAATCGGTTCTTAATCGATTCCTAATCGATTAGGAATCTATTAAAATCAGTCTTAATCAATTTTAATCGATTAATATAGTAGAATAACTGTCTTCACGATTATGATTGATTATGACTAATTATAATCGATTTTTAATCAAATTGTAATCGATTTTAATCTGATTTTTCCCCTATTTTTTTTTACATGGATGATACAACAATAATAGATTTTGGAAATGACTAAATTACCTTGGTAACCATAATATGTAATCATATTTTCTGCTTAACTGTTTCTTCGATAACTGCTAATTAAAATTCTGGATGAATAATGCTGGCTTTTATTCAAAAGAATAAAAGTAAACATAGGAACGATATAAATATCGCTATACTATCAGAGAGATAAATTGTTGAAGATTTAGTTTTCAGAATAATATTTTCATAAGTTGGACAACATTTTATGAACAATCTTTTAAATTTGTATAAATTTGCGCCGTTTTCAGATGAACTCTGTGTTTGTGGATATTATTTTCTTGAATAACTCAACCAGTTGTATTGATTCATACCATTTTCAAGTTAGCACAATTTTTTTTCATGATGATATTAGTATTAATAGAAGTCTGCCTATTCTGTTTTTATTGCAGTCCTTTGGATTTGTCTTGGTTCTTATGGATGAATGTCTGGTATTTTGTGGACGGTTTTCGATATTTTGTGCTTATATTACGATTAGCGATACTTGAAGATGAATTGGATTGATTGACCGGGTAGCTTCTGTGAGGTCACAACACGACGAATTATCACAACGAGATTAAATACATTTCTGTTCCATTATTTGTCTCACAAAATAGTCGATTATTGAGATCGAATAATCTTTCTACCACAAGCGAAGTCTTCAGAAATAAGGAAAAAAATCACATGACTCCGTTTCTCCAAAGCATCATCTTATACCATTGCTGTTCCAATTTAAGAGTTTTTCCCAGGTCACCAAGATTCGGGAGGGAGAGGAAGACCACTGAGCAGGAAGGATTCATGGCATTAAGGTGAAATCGTTTTCTTTTACAGGGACTAGTGAACCAGAAAAACGAAGAAAATCGTTCAGTTTCGCTGAGAGACAGCAAAAACTTTATAAACTTGGACAAGTCATCCCACAACCGCCCTTACAAGAGTAATTCTCCCATGTATCATGACCCTTCATAAGCAGAGTAATATAAGTCTCGTACAAGTGCCATCATGAAAGTCTTAATTTATTTAGGACATCCAAAGAGAGATAATCTCTTTCATGTTACTGTAAGACGACATCATGACTCTGTCACGGAACAAAAAAAAAATTGTTTTCTGAAAGGCTGACGTTTGTCCAATGAATCAGACTAAATCAGGGCACTGGAATGTAGACCTGAATTCTGCATATACATAATAAATCCTACCGATTCACTGGACATACTTATAACGAGAGAATAGTTTTCAATAATGATGGTTTATGCCGACATCATAACACATTCAAATAGTATAAAAAATCTTTTCTTTCAGTACTAAAGTATGTTCGGTGAATCTGTAGGATATCATTCAATGGAAAATTGAATTTTGAATCAGATGAATCGTTTAGGAATCAGCAAACATTCTTACAGGCCGGTTGTGTATAGGAATATGTTTTTAGTTTTGCTGCTAGATTGTTGTAGCGTTATATTGGTGGTATTGTTTTTTTCTGTTGTAGGAGATGTAGATTATCCAAATGCGGTTAATAGTGTCTGGTATTGAGTGTATATATA